TGCGCACTTAACCACTGTGCCACCAGGTTGGCCCAGGTGTCCTTGTTTTTCTTTCCCCTGTTGTCTTTGGATTTGCCCTAGAGAGTTATTCTTAAAGATCTGAGACATGCAATTCTTTCATTTGTAATTCCCTGTTGTTATACAGGAGCTTTATTGATGTGGTGGTATGGTGTCAGAGACGGGGAAAGATTCTATATTCCTATAATTAGGTCTCAGTCTGTTAGTAAGCCTGTGTTCCTAGGCTGTGATCTTTACAAGTGCTTTTTATTCCACCCTGCCACAACTTGAGTGAGATAGGAAGTCTAGAGGGAGCTGGAGTTGGATATTTCCATTCCTCCAGATTGGCTAGGCTCTAGCAAAACCCAGTGTGGTAGGTTCTGGTAAAATCAGTTAGCTTTGGTGCAGGCTTTTGTTAAGGAGAACAGAATACCTTGGGTTATTTCAAAATGGTTATTCCCCACACCCCCGTCACAATCATGAGGGAATTTTTCTCCAAGCTTTGCATTGAGAACCTAGTGGGGCTCATGTAGGTAAAAGTCATGAAAGTGTGGGGGCCTCCCTGGGACTGGGGCTTCCCTCTGGACTTTTAAATTCTCATGCTTGTCCACATAGAGCTTCCAACAATTGGTCAATTGATTTTCCTATCCTAATACTAGCTCCAGTGGGGGGCTTCTGCTCTCAAAAGCTGTGATTCACTCTATTCACCTGTCTCTCCACTTTTGGGGGCAGTGGTTTACCCTGTGACCTCAATTCTCTGAAGAACCTAAGAATAGTTGTGCATTTTCAGTTCCGCTTTTTTCCTGTGAGGATAGGAGGGATGACTTCTGAGCTCTTTACGTGTCAGACCTGACATTTTTTTTCAAACATAAGTTTTTTATGTTTTTCCTTTGTGTTCATCATTTTTTTTTACTGTAGGGAAGATTAGGATGGCATCTGAGGTTCTTTCCAATACTAAGATTGTTTTTAGATGATAAAAGATTTCAATCAGCAGTTAGTCTTACAGGGTTACACTTTTGCTAAATGCATTCCTATCCCAACCAGTTAGACCCACTATAGTTTTGTTTTCCAAGCTGTGACATGACATAATGAAGCTTAAATTTCACTTATAGTTTTATATTTCTAATGCTTTCCTGCAACCTCTTGCATGTTTGAATTTTTCTTTTCTTTTTATTGTGGTAAAATATACGTGCCATAAAATTTACCATTTTAACTCTTTTAAAGTATACAATTCAGTGGTTTTAAGTATATTTATGATGTTGTGCAACCATCAGCTCTATCTAACTTTTTCATCACTCTAAATGGAAACTCTGTACCTATTAAGCAGTCACTCCCCATTCCACCTGCCCTCAGCCCCTGACAACCACTAATCTGCCCCCTATCTTTATGGATTTACCTATTCTGGTTATTTCATATGAATGGAATCATACAATATATGATCTTTTGTGTCTGGTTTCTTTCATTTAGCATGATGTTTTCTCCTTTTTTCCTCCACTTTTATAAAGATATGACTGACAAACACTGTATATACTTAAGGTGTACAATACGATGTGTTGATGTATATATACATGATATTGTATACAGTGTGAAATGATTAACATGATGTTTTTAATGCTTATCCACACTGTAGCACGTATCAGTACTTCATTCCTTTTTATGGCTGAATAATATTCCATCATATGGGTACACGACATTTTGTTTATCCGTTGATAGACATTTGGCTGTTTCTATCTTTGGCTATTGTAAATAGTGCTACTATGAACATATATGTTCAAAGTTTTGTTTGAACACCTGTTTATAATTGTTTGGGGTTTTTTGAGGAAGATTAGCTCTGAGCTAACATCTGCCACCGATTCTCTTCCTTTTGCTGAGGAAGATTGGCCCTGAGCTAACATCCGTGCCCATCTTCCTCTATTTTATATGTGGGATGCCTGCCACAGCATGGCTTGATAAGCAGTGCATAGGTCTGCACCCAGGATCCGAACCAGTGAACCCAAGGCTGCTGAATTGGAACGTGCAAACTTAACTACTGCGCCACTGGGCTGGCCCCTTTCATTCTTTTGTGTGTACACGTAGGAGTAGAATTGCTTGGTCATATAGTAATTCTGTGTTTAACTTGTTGAGGAATTGCCAAACTGCTTTCCGCAGCAGCTGTATCATTTTACATTCCCACCAGCAATATATGGGGGTTCCAATTTCTCCACATCCTCACTAACACTTGTTGATATCTGTTATTTTGATCATAGCTATCTTTGTGGGTGTGAAGTGGTATCTCATTGTGGTTTTGATTTACATTTTCCTAATGATTAGTGATGGTGAACATCTTTTCCTGTGCTTGTTGGCCATTTGTATTTCTTCTTTGAAGAAATGTCCATTGAAATCTTTGCTCTTTTTAAAACTGGGTTGTCTTTTTATTGTTGAGTTATAGGAGTTCTTTGTATATTCTTGATATATATATATATAATCATATATAAGATTTGTGAATATTTTCTCCCATTCTGAGAGTTGTGTTTCCATTCTCTTGATATCTTTTTTATAATAGCTTTATTAAGACATAATTCACATACTATACAATTCACTCATTTAAGGTATACAATTAATTGGTTTTTAGTGTATTCACAGAGTTGTGCACTATCACCACAATTAATTTTCAAACATTTTTATCACTCCAAAAATAAACACCATACCAATTTGCAGTTACTCTCCACTATATTTTTCTTCAAGGAGGATTTTACTTGATGTATTTGTAGCAGACCTTAAGAGCTACTGAGCTCTGTAGTCAGACTGAGATGCAAGTTTATGGTAAAGTTTCCTACTGTATAATGTAGAGAAGATAGCTTTCCTGGTGTAAATGGGTTTAGAGTGTTTGGAAACTATCCCCTGAAATATTACTCCATAAAAACAACCACCACCTTGTAATTATATTTCTTAAGGAATCCATACCCTTATTAATGTCATAGGAGGCCAAATATCTACACACTAAAATCACTTTCAGAAGGCCCATTCATTTCAGGTAGATTGTTTTGTAAAAGGATTATACTTCTTGACTTCTAATGCTTCTTCCAACTCTGAAATTCATTCAGGAAAGTGAAGGGAAAGGAGATACAAGGACTGAATTTTAATTCATCTTTCTATCCCAGATCTTTAGCATGGTTTCAGGTACATAGTAAGAAGTCACTGAATGACTAATGACTTCAGTTTTGAACCTGTTGAGTTTGAGGTGCTGGCAAGCCACACGGTATCTTGCAAGTAATTATAAACTTGGTTCCGAAACTCAGAGAGGTTGAGGATAGAAATAAATCTTCAGGAGTTGTTCATATAAGTGAGACTGCAACTATATCAATGGATAATATTGCTAAAGGAAGGAAAGATGGAATAGGAAGAAATTCAGAATCATTGTTCTGCAGACTAAGAATGAGGCTCTACCCTTAGGCCCATGTTTTCAAAGTATGGATCCTCTGCATTACCTGGTATTCCCATTTAAAATTCAGATTCCCAGATGTACTTAATCTGTTTCTAGGGTTAGAATCTAGCCATTTGTATTATAACAAGCTTCTCTGTTCATTAAAGCTTCCCATTGTTTTATATACATTAATGTTTGAGAGAGCCTGCTTTAGAGAGAGAATATAGACAGAATCACCTGGAGGACTTCATTTTCCATATTTTCTATAATAAACGTGTATCACTTTAAATGGAAAATATTTTTTTTTTTAAATATTGGATACTGATGCTTAGAGAGCTCTCAGGTTCATAGTTCCTATGTACACTATATACCTTCACATTTGCCTTTTCTATAGTGAGCCATTCCCCCTTTCCTGCCCCCGAATCTGCCTAATCCTGTCTGGCTTTTAGAATCAAGTGGCTAAAGGAAAAAAAGCTTAGTAAAGGGACTTGGGGTCCTGTTTTATCTACTACTTCTTTATTGGCACCGTTTGCCCTTCCCCAAACAATAACTAAAAAAGCAAAAGCTAATTTTCTTTTTTTTCCCCTCCCCAAAGCCCCAGTACATAGTTTTATATCCTGGTTGTAAGTCCTTCTATTTCTATGTGGGATGCCACCACAGCATCGCTTGATGAGTAGTGTGTTGGTCTGTGCCCAGGATCCGAACTGCCAAACCCTGGGCTGCTGAAGTGGAGTGTGCAAAGTTAACCACTACACCACCATGCTGCCCTCAAAAACTAATTTTCAATACAAATTCTTTTATATTACCAGTTTCATGGCAAGTCAATGCCCTATTGCCTGTTCGTGGATTGTAAGGGCTGTAGCCATGGGTTTCCCAAGACAAGGAGTCCCTAGAAAGCTGGAAACATTCAACCCGTATGCACTTATTACTTTGTCAAGGTGCTGTAACCAAAGGCCACACAGACATAGTAAACCATAAGGATTGTATTTAGTGTGAAAGGAAGAATGGGCATATAGAGGGATGGCTCCAAGTCTGTCACTTCAGGGACCTTCAACCTTTTCCTGGTTCTCTCTGTCTGGCTAGTCAGCATTCCCACAGAAAGTGGGGCTGTCATCAAGGCTGACTTTAAGCCAAAGGGTTTAAATATTTTCTGTGTGCGATTTGTATGATGATAGTCAATGTAGTTCTCTCTCTCTCCTCCCACCTTCACCTCTGTCCCCCACCACCGCTAACAACCTTTTACAACTACTGCACCTTATCTAGAAGTGAAATATCAATCCAGAGAGCTCCAGACTATAGCATGGAAATGAAACCTTGGCAGAGCAATGTCCATTTTGTTGCATCATGTCCAGGGTACTTTTTGCTGTTATCAGAGGCAGGCTGAGGCCATAATTCTTGGGTTTACTCACCCCAGATAGTCAGAAACCAGACAGAGAGAGAAGATGGGAAGGAAGACTTGATCTACAAAGACCAAGTGTCTACGCAGAACAGTCAACTTAGTGCCAACTGAGGGCAGCGTGGCCTCACTTTAAACCCTTCTAATCTGTTCTGTTCCTGTCCCTGAAACCTTCATGACTCTGGCCTTTGTGTTCTTTTCCAGGTGACCAGGGTGATGTCTAAAAGAAGGCAGGAAGCTGTAGTAACACGCAAAGCAGACTTGCCTTTAGGGAATGTTCTCCTTGGCTCTAGATTCCAGACTTCAATCTTTTCATTCAACTTACATTTTATGAGTGCTTATGCCAGGTATTTTGTGGGCCTTTGAGATAAGAAGTTGGGTAAGATTTAGTCCCTGTCCAAGAAGAGTTCATAATTTAGTGGGGGACACAGAAATGTGAACAAATAATTAGCATATTATAAAGTACAAGTACTGGAATAGAGGGGGGCCATCAGAAGGTTCTCTCTAATTGGAATGGTACATTTATGATGTCAAAGTTGGAAAGGTAGGATGGGACCAGATCTAAAGACTCATGGAGTTTGGGCTTTATCCTTGTAGACCAATGTTTTCCAACTTCACTGACTCATATTCTGCCTTCACCATTTTAATTTCTTAATTTAGGCAGTAATATCTTTGAAATCATGAGTTTAATATATTTTCTTATGAATATTAAAATAAAAATATATTAATTTGTGTACCAGCAGTGGTACACTATAACTGTTTAGAAAGATAATTCTGAGAGCATTGTATGAGAGAGATTGGATGGGGGAGTAAAACAGGATTATTTGAAAAGTTATTGAAATACTGAGAGATGATAAAGTCCTGAACTAAAAAAAGGCATTATTGGCAGGGGTGGTAAAGAGGGGAAGGGATTTAAAAGAGATTTAGGAACTAGAATAGACAGGACTTATAATTAATTAGAGGAAGGTAGGGATATTTATGAACTAAAATCTAGATTTGGTAACTAATTAAGTGGGAGAGTGGAAGATTACAGAAAAGGAAGGATCGAGAATTACTTGCAGGTCTCTTGTCTTGGGAGTGAATGATGGTACTAATTCACCAAAATAGAGAAGAAGAACAAAAGTAGGTTTGAGGGAAAATATTTCCCTCAAAAAATTTATCTAATTGCAATTTTCTTTTAAATTACAAATGCAGTATGTTCTCACTGTAACAAGTGAAACAATCCAAAAATACAAGAAGAAAGTTAATAATCTCCCCTTTCATATCCCCCTCCCCTTCCATTGTAACATCAAGGGGACCAATTTGTGTAGCCTTCCACACCTTCTTCATGAGTGTGTATGTGTATATATATGTGTATGTATGTATGATTTTAATGATTAGTTTTTATAAAGATGAGGATATATATATATATATATATATATATATATATATATATATATGTATAGTCCTACAACTTGGTTTTCTTACTTAGTAATACTTCAGTGGATATACCCCTAGGTCAATATATATCAATCTAACCTGTGCTTTTTGTGTGTGTGTGAGAGGAAGATTGGCCCTGAGCTGACATCTGTCGCCAATCCTCCTCTTTTTGCTTGAGGAAGATGGTCCCTGAGCTAATATCTGTGCCAATCTTCCTCTACTTTGTATATGAGATGCCGCCACAGCATGGCCTGATGAATGGTGTGTAGGTCCACACCCAGGATCTGAACCTGTGAACCCTGGGCCACTGAAGCAGAGCATGCAAACTTAAGCACGATGCCACCAGGCCGGCCCCATACCCAATGCTTTTTTTTGTTAATATTTACATGGTTTATCTTTTTATATCCTTTTACTTTCAACCTACCTATGTCATTGTGTTTCAAGTGCGTTTCTTGTAGACAGCATGTACTCGGATCCTGTTTTTTTTAATCCACTCTGCTGATTTCTGTCTTTTTTTTTTTGCAAGGAAGATTGCCCCTGAGCTGACATCTGTGCCCATCTTCTTCTATTTTATGTGGGATGCTGCCACAGGGATGGCTTGATGACCAGTGCTAGGTCCCAGTGCACCTGGGATCCGAACCTGTGAACCCGGGGCCACTGAAGCGGAGCGTGCAAAGTTAATCACTACACCGCCGGGCTGGCCTCAATCTCTGTCTTTTAATTTGCTGTATTTGGACCATTTTCATTTGAGGTAATTGTATTAATTTCCTAGGACTGCTATAACAAAATAACATGAGCTGGGTAGCTTAAAACAACAGAAAATTAGTATCTCACAGTTGTGAAGACTAAAAGTCTGAAATCAAGGTGTTGTCAGGGCCATGCTTCCTCTGAAGCCTCTAGAGGTTGATCCTTTTTGCCTCTTCCAACTTCTGGAATCCTCACACGATCCCTGGCTTGTGGCAGCAGAATTACTCCAATCTCTGCCTCTGTCTTCACATGGCCCTCTTCCTTCTGTGTCAGTGTTCATGTGTCATGTGAAGACATGGTGTTCTCTTTCTCTGTGTGTCTATGTCCATATTTCCCTCTTCTTTTTTTTAAGATTTTGTTTTTCCTTTTTCTCCCCAAAGCCCGCCAGTGCATAGTTTCATATTTTTAGTTGTGGATCCTTCTAGTTGTGGCATGAAGGATGCCACCTCAGCATGGCCTGATGAGTGGTGCCATGTCTGCGCCTAGGATCTGAACTGGCGAAACCCTGGGCCACCGAAGCAGAGCGCGTGAACTTAACCTCTAGGTCACAGGCCAGCCCCATATTTCCCTCTTCTTAAAAGGACACCAGTCAGATTGTTTTATGGTCCACCGTAACAACCTCATCTTAACTTGATTACATCTTCAAGACACTTGCTATAGACTGAATGTTTGTGTTCCCCCAAAATTTGTATATTGAAACCTAATTTCTAATATGATGATATTAGGAGGGTGGGGCCTTTGGGAGGTGATTAAGTCATGAGAGTGGAGCCCTCATGAATGGGATTAATGCTCTTTTAAAAGAGACCCCAGAGAGCTCCCTTGTACTTTGTGCCATGTGAGGATACAACAGGAAGTCAGCAGCCCACAGCCCAGAAGAGGGCTCTCACCAGAACTCAACCGTGCTGGCACCTTGATCTCAAATTTTCAGCCTCCAGAACTGTGAGAAATAAATTTATATTGCTTATAATACTTTGTTATAGTAGCCCAAACTGACTAAGACAACCCTATTTCCAAATAAGGTCACATTCACAGGTTTGGGGGTTAGGACTTCAATATATCTTTGTGGATGACATAATTCAACCTATGATAGTAATTATTCACATGTTAAGACTTGAGTCTGCCACTTTCTTATTTGTTTTCTGTTGGTTTCCTCTGTTTCTTGTTCTCTTTTCTTACCTTTCTGTGGTTACTTGAATATTTTTTAGGATTCTATCTTGATTTCTTTACAGTATTTTTGAGCATACTGCTTTATATAGTTTTCTTAGTTGTTGCTCTAGGTGTTACAATGTAAATATGTTACTAATTACATTCTACTGGTATCGGTGTTTTACCACTTCAAGTGAAGTATGAAGACCTTACTTCCATTTAGATCTATTTACCTTCTCCACTTTAAAAAAATGTAACTGTCTTAAGTATTTCCTCTACATATGTTGAACCACCACATCAGATGGTGTTATAATTTTTGCTTTAACCATCAAATATGAGTTAAGAAACTCATGAAGAGGATAATATACCCCTATTTTTGCCCATTCTGATGTTTTTTTCCTCTCTGAAGTTCCAGGACTTCTTTTATCTTTTCTTTCTGTTGAGAGAATTCTTTTAGCCATTCTTTAAGGGCAGGTTTGCTAGCAACAAATTTTCTCCATTTTCCTTTATCTGAAGGATAGTTTTGCCAGATACAGAACTTGTTGTTTACAGTACTTTTTTTTTTTTTTTACTAATCTTTATTTTTTTTAGAACAGTTTTAGATTTACAGAAAAATTGAGAAGACAGTACAGAGAGTCCTCATATACCCTGTACCCAGTTTCCCCTGTGGTTAACATCTTACATTAGTATGATATATTTGCTATAATTAATGAAGGAGTATTGATACCTTATAATTAAAGTCCATACTTTATTCAGATTTCTTTAGTTTTTACCTAATGTTCTTCATCTGTTTCAGGACCATCCAGAATACCACCTTACATTTAGTCATCATGTCTCCTTGGGCTCCTCTTGGCTATGGCAGTTTCTCAGACTTTTATGGCTTTTGATCAGCTTGATAACTTTGAAGAGCACTGGTCAGCTATTTTGTAGAAAATACCTCTATTGGAATTTGTCTGATTCATGATTAAACTGGGGTTATGGGTTTTGGGGAGGAAGACCACAGAAGTGAAAATACCATTTTCATCACATCATATCAAGAGTACATACTAGCAAAGATGTTACTTTTGATGTTCACCTTGAACACCTGGCTGATGTGTTTGTTAGATTTCTCCACAGTCAAGTTACTCTTTGATCTCCTTTTCCATCTTGTACTCTTGGAAGTCACTGTATGCACCCAAACTTAAAGAATAGAGTTATGCTCCCCCTCCTTGAGAGCAAAGTATCTACATGAATTATTTAGAATTTTGCATAGCAGATTTGTCTCTTTTCCCCATGAATGTATTTATCTATCAGTCCAATCAATCAATCATTTGTTTATATCAGTATAGACTCATGGATATTTATTTTGTACCTTGGGTTATAACCCGATACCACTTTATTGTATTGCTCAAATTGTTCTAGCTTTGGCCACTGGGAGCTCTTTTAGTTGGCTTCTGTGTCCCTTTGTTATTCCACTATCATTGTGTTTTTCTCCTTTGAGTGCTTCCTTCCTTTCTGGCACTATAAGATGTTCCAGGCTATCTTGTATATTTCCTGCCCTAATCTGACAGTTCTTTTCTTTCTGCACTTGAAAAATTTTGTGCCACTTCCTTCTGGCCTGCATGGTTTCAGATGAGAAATCTGCTATAATTCAAATTGATGTTCCTGTATACTTTTCTCTTTGGCTGACTTCAAGATTTTTTCATTGTCTTTCATTTTCAGCAGTTTAATTATGATGTGTCTTGGCATGGATTTCTTTGTAACCCATCCTTTCTAATAACTGCATGCTATTCCATATGTGGAGATAGCACAATTAAAAATATATGCTATAGAAATATAATCACCAATATAAAAATATACATATAAAGAATACTTATTGTAGCATTGTTGTTAGTGGCAAAAAAAAATGGGAACAGACTGTAGGGTCAAACAGAATGTGTTATTAATCTGGGGGAAGTCTTCAGTGCTGTGGGTTGAGTTAATGATATTCCTCAGTTTATAGCACATTATCATCATTGGCCCTTGTAAGATTCCTCCCTGTTTGTTTGTATATTCTCTTTTAGCCTCATTTCCCACTCCCAGGCCCTCTCCACCCGACAGGCAACCATTCCTTAATGTATATCCTTTTGTTTAAATATATTCTTATAAAGTACAACTTTTTTTATGTGTGTATTATTTTAATTTACATAAATCTTTTTGTGTTAGACATTTCAATGTTTTCTTTTTCACTCAACACCCTGGTATAAAAGCCATTCCTGTTGCTATGCAATACATCTGAGGCATTCCTTCTTCCTGCTGCATCATACTCCAAGGTATATATCTACCACATTTCCCTTATCCACTTCTCCAGTGATGGGCAAGCAGATTACCTCCACCTTCCTGTTAACACAAACAACAATGTGATGAGCATCCTTGTACATGCACCCTATGGACCTGTGTGGCAATTTCTTTGGCATAGAAGGGACATATATGTATTTTATACTTTAATAGATATCGCCAGATTAGTTTCCTAAAAGGTTATAACTAGTCATACTTCTACCAGCAGTGTCTGAGAGTCTTTTTTTCCCTAATCTTCATCAACACTCGGTGTTCTCATGCTCATAAATTTTTGTCAGTCTTTGTAAGAAACATTGCATTTATTGGTTTAATTTGCATTTTCCTGGTTACTAGGTGAGGAAACATGAATTTCTTTTGTAAATTGTCTTGTTTAGAATTGAATTCTGAATGTGTTGAATTTGAGACATCTGGGAGCATCTAGATGACCTGTCTAGTAGGCAACTCAAAATATGAGCGTATAGTTCCAAAGAGAATTAGAGTCGGGAGATAGCAAATTAGGAGTTGACAGTTTATAGATGATAGCCAAAATCATCTAAATGGGATCTAAAAGATAGGATCATCTGTGAAAACAGTGTAAAGTGAGAGAAGAGCTGAACAGAATCCCTGCAAATTCAACATTTAAGCAGCAGATAGAGGAGGAGTCAGGAAGAATGTGAGAAGGAAAAGTTACAGAGGAGGAAGAGAAGCAGGAAAAAGGGATGCCAGGGAAACAAGTGGGGAGAGATTTCCAAAGAGGAGGATGTGATCAGCCATATCGAAGGCTACAGAGAGGTCCAGTGAGGTTCGGACTGAAAAGTATCTGTTAGATTTGGCAATTAGGACATTATTTGTCACCTTAGTGAGTGTAGTTCCAATAATATGGTGAGGGCAGAAACCAAATTGCAGGGGGTCGAGAAGAGGCTTGGGGGTGAGGAACTAGATAGAGGAGAAATAGATGATCCTTTAAAGAAGTTTGGACCTAAAGGCAAGGAAAGAGGGCAACAGTTAAAGGGATTATAAAGTTTGGGGAGGGCTTCATTTGTTTTAAGAAAGGAGAGACTTGGTCATTTGTACAGGCTGATAGAAAGAGAGGTTAGAGACAAGAAGAAGAGAGATTTTTTTAATTGTTCCAAGTGGAACTCTTGATTTCCCTTCCAAACACGCTTCTCCCCAAGACTTTATAATCTCAGTAAATGACACTACTATCATCCAGTTGCTCAACCCCAAAACCTGGGTATGACCTGTTTTGTTTTGTTTTGTGAGGAAAATCTGCCCTGAGCTAACATCCATTGCCAATCCTCCTCTTTTTTGGCTTGAGGAGGATTAGCCCTGGGCTAACATCTGTGCCAATCTTCCTCTACTTTGTATGTGGGAT